TTCAAGTGTTTTTTGCCGTTTTTAGAAAAAACAAAATGGCGGGAAAAGTCACATGACCGCTAAAGTTTTTATTGCTGATATCTATTACACATGAGTTGTACTATATACCATAAAAAAATCTAGACGCCTAGACCCTCAGAAAGTGGTCAAACAGCCACTTCCGGTTTTATTTCAATCCAATATGGCTGCCAAACTAATTGTCCAATCGAAATTCTGAAAGCATGTTGCACCAGTTCACATTATGGACTATCAGTATAGAGCATTATCAGACCATTCTGTTCAGCGGTTTTCTCAAACGGCTTGACGAAAAAAGTTACGGAAGAAAGAAGAAGATGATGAAGAAGAAAAAACCGGACAATAAGAATTGGGGCCTCGCCCTTCGGGCTTGGGCCCCTAATAAATCTGATATTGGACATGACATTATTAATGAATACTGTAAAACCATTTTACTATTTTGAGCATATTTACTGTGTTTTAATTTTACAAACTTGTCAAGGAAACAATTTTATAATGTTATTTTACATGTTTACCTAGATTTTACTTATCAGCAAAAATATCAAAATTAAAACCCAATGAATATTTAATGCATTCACAGCATACAATTTTATGTCAGTCTCCCTATTAACATAAAATTAACATAAAATTAACATATGCGATGATGTAATTTTTACCACAAATCACTGTTTATTTTTTAATTGATAAGTATTGTCATTGCTTTGATCAGTTTCTTCACATGTTTTTTTTTTCATTTCAAAACAAAATTGTTTTTGTGTCAACAGCCATGTGGAAATCATACAACTGGGACTGGTCATCTGTTTTAGAAAATTTTGTTGAGAACTCAGAATCTGAACCTGTTAGAAGGGAATAGCATTTTAATCACCTGTAAACTAGTACTAGTATGTTTTCATATTGAATATTAAATCAACCTTCAAAGTTACTCAATGATAAAATTTATCCAAAGAGAAAAAATCATGACAAAAGGTTAACATGCATATACAACTGCAGATACAAATGTATAAAATATAACATTGTACAACAGTAAGTTAAACATATACAATAAGTTTAAAATCCCTGCATTTGAGCATAACAGTTGACATCGCACAATCTTCGTAAAATCTTCTGAAAACTACGCTTTTGAAATTGGCATTATTATACAAATACTTTTGGTGATACATATAACCGTCACTGAAGTTGCCATGTTTTGTAAATAAACTATACAAATTGGTCACCATGTGGTATGAGTGGATTTGCCCAAAAACTCATGGAAATCATGGAAACCTTGGAACCACACAATCACCCAACATTAGCAAATTTATTTAATTCTGATAGTGGTGGTTCAATAATGAATTTCGTACAGTGACATGTTGTATTCAGAGAAGAGCCTAGATGCGATTGCCATAGATTATAACATTGTTGTAGATTAACACTGAATAATTTATTGAAAACAACATTTCTGCTATGATTATTGTATCCAGCCCTGTGGAACAGTAGAAGCAGACAACTCAAACACCAGCGGTAATATGATAACCCAAATCATATACAGTATATACCAAGACATGTATATTTAAACTTAACTTTAATTTTAAAAACATCATTATGTAAGTTTCTCTTTGGTGACAACAATGATTCAACAATTGTTTTATAGTAATTTTATATTAAATAGTATTTCCATTGCAAAGTCATGATAATAAATGTTTTATAAATTAAAAATTTTTAATTTGAATTTTTGTAATTCAGAAGTTCCTATGATCACTTTCCAAGGATTGAAACTATTCATAATCATTCAAGATAAATTTGAAGCATCCTGTTTGATATTTCAACTAAATTGAGAAAATCAGGTAAGACAATATAGAATTGTGTATATAAATGATTGTGCATAGTTGAGAATTTCAAACTCTGGCAGCAAAGAAAGGAAAATGCAGTCCTGGCGTTTGAGGGCGTTCACGCATGCGCAGACTGACACAACCTGAAGGCTGGTATCACAGAGAATAGAATTTGTCAAATTTCGTCATAAATGCGTAAAATCTGGAAAAATATATGATTTATATGTAATCGGACAACATTTTGCGATAGTTCAGTGTCTTATAAGCACTCGTAACTGGTTTGGACAAGGTATTTTGTATTTTGAGGTGTGATTTTCGGCTGCTAGAAAAATGTGTGCACATTTTGTTTCCTCCCTTGTCTTATATATAGTGCAAGCTGATCGGCCGGAAACAAGTATTAGTGATTTTTGTAGTTTCGGAGCGTGATGATTAAATTTAATAACATATGCTTGCTTTACATTACTAAACTGTTTTAATTCTATAATTTTTATTATTTTGAGCAAGGGCAAGGTCCTGTACTGGGACATAGTCGCTCGGTTCCATAGACATCCATGCATTGAGACGAATAGATCGTCAGGCCCCTGTGATAAAAAGTACTTATGTTATTGTACTCTGTTCGGTCATTGATCTCCCCAGCTGATCAATGAAAACACAAACCAAATAATCACAGAGCATATATGTTGAAGTGATTATAGGATGTATGAGAACCTAAATTCCATTATTTTGTAAATAGCCTCATTAATATACATTATTTTTAATGACACTGGAAAGAAAAGCTCAGTTAAAATATCACTTTCCAGAACTAGATTTATTATCAACTTTTTTTTTATTTCAGTTATTTTTGGTTCATATAGTTTTCTAAGTTGTCAAGAATGCAGTTATCGAAATTTGGGTCGTACTCATGCATTGTACAGCTATGATATTGTCACACACGCGAAGCGTAAATTTCTGGTATTTTATCATGGTCACACAAACAGGCAACGACCACTATGCTCTTGTGGACCTTTATGTTTGTGTCTTAAAATTATATCAGACTTATATATCAGACTTAAATTCATGGAATTGTTACAGAATGAAAACATTATTATACCAGTAGCACAGTTCATAAGTAAAAGCTTTGAAGTCAGGAAGCAGGGTCTTGCTTGACATCTTAATGCCTGCTGTCAATTTTGTAATTTTATATTAGATTGTATTTTAGAGATTTTGTATTATTTAGTAATTTAGTGATTGTATTTGTTATTTGTTATTTAGTATATTGTGTTTTTGTTTTGTTTTTTTTATATATATATTTCTCCTTGTACTTTGTGACCATTTTCTTTTCCTCCGGGGATTGTGTAAGAGTCAATAAGTAAATAAAATAAATATAAATCCTGTGTTTTGGGAATATATAATAACATATGGCTTAGTAAATACATTTTCATGAACGTAAAAACGTCAAAAAATGTATAGTACTGTACAATTTGTATCACATCAGCTAAAAATCGAAACGGGGACTGTTCCTAATCTTTGACTCGACTCCAATTTCAAACCGTTTGTGGAGGGACTGTGTTACTACATACCGCCAACTGAATTTCGTCGTATCTTCCTTTCATTCCACATACATATAGTGTATTGTCTATATAATCTGGCTGTTTAAACTCAATTATTTCGACGATAGACGACATTTCCTGAGGAGAATTACCATTAACTCAAAACCACTAACTCGTTGTTTACGTTCGGCGCCATTTTGAAAATCCCTCCGAGCTTGGATGTCTCTAGATGGCGCTATCACATTTCATTCAGCCAATCGTCCGTAGAGGCAGCTTGCCAAACCCTCAGTACCAATACCCCTCGGCCAGCTGCCGTACAAGTGACAATAAAACAAATGCGAATAATCTACTCATCTTAACTACATAAGGTATTTCGAATATGGAATGGTTACGCGCGTAAGCGTCCTTTAATAATAAAAACAAACATGGCTGTCACCAGGGATTGACCGGACTTCACACAAAGAAGTTCGCTGATTCTGTTCTAAACATTTTGGATTTCGGCATCCGAAAAGAAGGAAAATGATGTATAATAATAAGGTAGTTACAATGATACCTCAAAGTATGCACGAAGACAGTACAGCGGGAGTATCGACCGACGCGCAGTGTACTGTCTGAGTAATAACTTTATGAATGATTCTTCAAGTTTAATATTTTTTTTTACTTTTACGTTTCATTTTTTGAATCAGTGTTTATTATTACAGTTCTTTGATTTATTTTCGTTAGTTGAATTTTCACTTCGACGAACCATTTGTCGTTCATTTGTTTATACAGTCATGCTGCTTCTTTTAGTAATAAGTTGTCTGTAGTTAATACACGGCTGTTATATTTAATTAGTTTTTTATATGAATGTGTCCAGTGGAAATCTATCTGTTTCTCAATAAATACTTATAAATGGTTCATTTTTGAAACACCCAGCAGATATCTGAATAGTATGTATAGATCTCTTCAATGGCAGACTTATGCGAGGATTCATGCCCCAGACATCGCTACCATAACCTAAGATTGGCCGGATAAATTCATTATGTAGTTGTTTTTATATCTTTTTATATTATTTTTTTAAATATTTTTTTAGTAGAAATAAGCCCCTTGCCCCGTTCTTTTTAGATTTTCTAGTGCTTCTTGGAATTTTCCATTAGAAATCAGAGTGACTTTTTGTTTCTGCCTTCAACTTGAAAAAGAATACACTATCACTTAGAAGACTATTACATTTATTAAAAATCACAACCTTTGTTTTCACAATATTTACTAAGTTTCCAATACCGTGTGTATGTTTCCAGATAGTCTAATTTTGCAGAACAACTGGTGTTTTCTTTATACTTGGGTGTTCACATGCGTTGGAATTAAACATATCTGGCAGATCATTTATAAAAAACATATCCCTGATAATCAACGCCCGGAAATGGAGAACCTCAACTGAATATTTGTGAATTTCAGCATACTCATTACGTCATACTTATACTCCTATATTGGCATATACTTCATGTTCAAAATCATCTTGTGCATTGAAATTCGATTGACAGTCAATTACACAATTGTTGCGTGTCACCCACTCAGAGACTAATTATGACACAGTAGGGACTATATGGCAGGAGTTAATACATAATCAGTCGTAAACACAGTTTTGCATCCCTCGTTTAAACAAAACGTATCTCGCTTTGCCCTATTGACCATACCGTGCTGTGCACTTTGTATGCGTCAAACACTCATCTATATTTGTCACTAAAATCCACCGCAAATGTTGGCCCCGAAGCCCCAACAGTCAAAAAAAGCTGCCGCCGCCTCTGCCTGTGCACTGTAGTGTACACGCGTGTCATTATGTCGCAGTGCGCTCAAGTACGTATGCGTGTCACTGTACCCGCAGTACTCTACAGTTTTTGTGAAGAGTCGAATATAAAGTATGTGTGAATTTGCTTGCAAATAAACAAGAATAACTTCTCTTTTGCTTGTTATTATTATATATCATTACAAATTATAGGTGTGTACTACGTGCTCAGAAGCGGCGTAATATATTTCTCATCTGAAGGATGATGACGTCAATATTATAGTTGTCAGGTTCCAGCCTGGTATCCAATATAAACATGCAACATGTTGGCATTATACGGGTGACCGCGCTTCAATAATACTTATATGTTACTACCTATGGCATCGTGCACAGCTGCACGGTTCAAAAGACAAATACTGCCATTATATACAAGAGAAAATCACTAAAATGTCTACGATACGCTTCTAATTTGTAACATATACAATGCGGTACGCGATATATCGACGATTGGCTCTTCTTGTCGGAGTGTTCGGCTTTGTTATTTTACCTATATATTGGGACATATTAGCGCCAAGAAGCAGAGGGATTGAAAAAGCGAAATATTTGAAACCGATCGCCGGTGAGATCAGGTTGCCTGAGATTAAATACAATGAATATAACCTTGTCACGTCGGCGATAGACGCAGATTATAGTGATGAAATCGAAGGAGAAATGGGAATGACAGCTTTGGACGACGAATTTAAGAGACTTCCAGACAGAGATGAACAACGGAAAACAACAAATGTAAGTATTCGAGAGGGAACTCAAATGCCACTCCTTTGATTGGTTTCTACTTCGAACTTGTTATTCGCGTAATTTTACATTTTAGCAGCCAAAGTAGTCACTATAGTGTCAAGCTCAAATCATTCACCTACCGACACTGTATGCGACACTGACAGGAAGTTGAAACAACGTAAATTACTAATTTAATGTATTCCACACAATTTAACCGAGGGCGCTTATTTGGAAATAACATAATCACATAATATACCGAGTATTAGCTTCGAGACTGGGATTATGGACACCAACATCTGATGATATTCACAATTACCGTAATGTAATGTGTTATACCTGGGTACACGAGTACTTCCACATTGAATATCTGATGATATTCACAATTACCGTAATATAATGTGTTATACCTGGGTACACGAGTACTTCCACATTGAATATCTGATGATATTCACAATTACCGTAATGTAATGTGTTATACCTGGGTACACGAGTACTTCCACATTGAATATCTGATGATATTCACAATTACCGTAATATAATGTGTTATACCTGGGTACACGAGTGCTTCCACATTGAATATCTGATAATATTCACAATTACCGTAATATAATGTGTTATACCTGGGT